GCAGGGATGCAGGGAGTATGGCAAAGAGACGCAGCGTCTCATTCCCTCGGGGAATCATGGTTACATACGTAACCTAGAGACGTTCCCCTTCAGGAACTCGAGCTGTGTCGAGATCGCTTTGGGAATGAGAATACCCACTGCGCCATACTACCAAGTCCCTGCCTGTGTGTGTATCTTACAAGCACATCACGAAGAGAGAACTTGGGAACCTGGGGTAGATGCCAGGTCTAGGTTGTAAAAGCGGACAAAAGTGTGCGGAGAGGACCAGCCCGCCGCAGCACAAATGTCCTGCAAAGCCACACTCAAGCTGAAAGCCTTGGAGGCCGCCATACTCCTGGTCGAGTGCGCTCTGACCCCCATAGGCGACGGGAGGCCAGAGGACTCGTAAGCTAGTGAGATGGCCTCGACCACCCACCTACTCATAGTCTGCTTGGTCGCCGGAGATCCTTTCTTTGGCGGACCAAAGCAAACAAAAAGCTGATCTGCCTTACGCCACGGGGGAAGCTCTGTGTGCGTAAGCGTCCAGTGCTCGAACTGGACAAAGCAGATTAAGCCTTTCTTGGCCTACTTCCTGGAATGGAGGAGGACAGAATGTCTGCAGTACTATGGGCCCTGGCGAAGAAGTGGGCACCTTAGGGACAGACCCGGCCCTCGGGTAAAGGAATGCCCTCACCATGCACCATGCAAACTCCAGGCACGAAACAGAGAGTGCCTGAAGATCCCCAATCCTTTTCAGTGAGGAAATAGCGAGGAGAAAGATAGTATTGAGCGTGAGCAACTTGACTGACACTTCTTCTAAGGGTTCAAAGGGGCATTGCATAAGTCCTCCAGAACCACATCCAGGTCCCATCAGGGCATCTTAGTGCGCTGTACCGGCCTCAGCCTCACGGTGCCACGGAGGAAACGAGTGATAAGTGGGTGTCTTCCCAATGATTGACCACCCAGAAGGGCGTGGTTGATGGCTTGGGCTGCTCCCGCTCAGCAGCCCCACCCCTGAGCAGGTCAGCCTGGTATGCCTGTAACACCGCCATGGTGTGCAAACATGCGCCAGCCTGACCTTTCCGCCGTATAAGCTTTCCCAACCAGACTCGATGTAAGCCTAACGGGCCTGGTGGGAAGCTTCAGGGCCTTCAGGGACGATGCTGAGGATGGGGAGAGATAGCTCGCAAGCGTCTGCTCCATCACTGGCATCGCCCCATATCCCTTATCATTCAGCCCCACGATGTTCTTTTGAATAATTCGAGACCGTGGGGCTGTAAATACGGGATGAGTACGGTTTCTCCCACGATCTTGACACCTCAGCATGGAGATCGGGGAAAAACGGAAGGCCCCCGTCGTGAAGGCTGTGATCTGGATTCAGAAACGCTCGTCTAATTATTTTTAGGATGAGCGTCCTGTTTCTAGGCTGGTCAAACGATATTTTATTTTGGCGAGTGCACGAAACACACCCCATAATCACGAATCACACCTCATACGTGAGGGACTGTGGTGGAGAGTCCACAGTCTCCTCTGTCTCGACACTCATCACATCCACCTCCTCGGAGGAAGATAGACCCTCTCTGGGGGGGTGGGAAGAAACCGTATCGCGGGCTTCCGAACACTGAGAGACAGCCACGGATCTAGCGGGTGAGGACCGAGAAAAGGACGAGCCCATCTCGGATCCCTCCACTAAATTCACCCACGATCCCCACGACAACAGTGTAGCATTTGGACCAATCAGACACACAACTTTTTGTTATATTTAACAAATAATATCTAACGCCCCCTCACCTAACCAAAGGGCCAATTACGAGGGTCTATGGACCCTTCCCCCGAAATGTTCGGCCTTGACTTTTCCATTCACCAAAGATTCTCTGACTCAAACTGGTTCTTTTCATCAACTAATTTCAGCAAGATCTTGGGCCTTAAGATTGCATCAGGAATCTCTTTCAGACAGCCGAGACTCGCAAGTATCAAACTTAGTCTTATTAATTATACATTAAGTATCAGTTACACCTTTTTACAAAGGTGTGTTTGAACTAAGAATCTGACGTATCCCTAAAGGTGTTCTTCCACATCCCGATAGTGAGTCGCAACCCGTTGGTTGGGGACCTCTGATATATAGTGTTGAACGCAGCACTAAGATCAAGTAAAACTAGCAATGAGATGCAGCCTTGGTCTGACGCAAGAAGCAAGTCATTTGTAATTTTAACAAGAGATATAACAAATAGATAAGTTGGGCCATTATTTATGACATTTACATGTACTTTTGATAATTAAGTAGTTTAAATTTCATTTACTTTAGTACTTATACTCAAGTAGTCAATTTCCATCTTTTTTTGCTTAAACATGACAACTGAAAACTTTATACACTGCTTCTGAGCACAAATCTGATGGTTTGAAGAATCCCCATGAACACCATATCAGAGTGAGTCTGTTATGAATTTACGATTGGGCTATTAGTTTCGGAATTTGCCAATAATAAAACCAAATTAGTTTACCACTAATCTGAATACCGATGGGGACACATAAACACCTTAATATCTACTTACAAGATGAACTCGAGTTACAACCATATTCTCAGCCTGAGAGAGAGAAAAAATACTGAGCTCTGCAGTAACATTTTCAAATGAAATGGTACAATTTTCAAGCACAAATGGCAGGGATTCCTGAGGATGCTGCAGGTACTATAGACAGAAAGAAAAGAGAATAACACTCAAGAGACAAGTGAGAGCAAGAAGGAGACATATAGGTAGAATAGAAGACAGTCAAAAGAGACCTAAGGGCCTACTTGAACCATTTCTGTTCCTAAAAATAAATCTGGATGAATCCTTCCCCTGTGGTAGAGCTGAACAAATGGTTCTCATTTCCTATGTAACCACCAGTGCATCTGTCACTACCTTAAATGAAAAAAGAAAATACACTTCTCACATCACTCACCCTCTGATTGATGCGCCAGTCATGGGGTTTGTTGGCCGATTTGTTTGGACATGACCCATGTGGCGTGAACACAAAGGCCTGCCGTCCTTGACACCCGTACTGCGATTTAAAGCCTTGAAAGTAAAGCTGGGATCTTTTCACTCAAAGAGTAGATCTTTTTAGATGGATAGGCAGTGAGTATTCTCTGTGTCCTCTTTTGTTATAGTTGAGTTGCACTATGCCGCCGGTGACTGACTCTTTTGTAGTCTTATCGGCCGTGCTGACAGTTGGCCAGAGGACTATTGGGCTTGGCTCAATAGCTCCCTTTGGAAATGAAGGACACTAGATTGAAGGGAGTGGCTTTTTGTATCAGTGTAGTAGTATCATGTTCTTTGAAAGGATAAGATTATCTAGTGTTCAAGATGGCTTATCACAACACATATAGTCAGAAACTTAATTTACACTATAGGGTTAAGGACATCTTGTTTCTTAATTAAGGAGGCCTCTAGATCAGTTTTACTATTCTCTGTTATGTTTATCTCATCAATATTAGTTTTGCTTATACATATGGTTAAGGATTTGGACTAATTCCTCAGCATAAATACTAAATTTAAAGGAATAATTTACCCAAAAAATGAAATTTATGTCATCATTTACTCACCCTCAAGTTATTCCAGGCCTGTATGAGTTTCTTTCTTCTGTTCAAAGAAGAGATTTTGAAGGATGTGGGTAACCAAACAGTGCCCGTCCCCATTGACTTCTATGGTATGGAAAATAAATAAATAAATACTATATAGGTCAATGGGAACCAGAAACTATTTGGGTGCCCACATTCTTATTCTTATTCACATTCTAAATCAGAGTCAGCACCATTCCAATTGTAATCATTTCTCAGGGTGATGTCTGAAAAAAAACATATATATGTGTGCGTATAATTTAACTAATGCAATTAATTAACTTTATATCTAATGCACACTGCAATAAAATGTTTGCAGAAAATAACTGTAAAAAGGTGTCACGATTTCGGTGGGGTCTACTTGGGCTTTGTTATCATGGAGCACATGGCCTTTTGTTTTGACGGCTTGCCATGTGCTCTGCTGTCATCCTGGTGTTCACCCCGCCCCTCTCGTTATCCCTGTTAGCTAATTCTCCCTTCTCACCTGCACCTCGTTTTGTCCTCATTATTCTTCCCTTTATCTGGCCCTCTTGAATGCTATCTTGTGTCAGTCCGTAACATGTTGTGCAGCAGCTTAGATCGTCTCTGTCCATGCTGTGTTTGTCTGACTCGTTTTTTTTATTTAATTTTTTCTAGTCTAGTCGGTCTGGCGTTCCTGTGTTTGTCACCCTCCTCTTTCTACCCTGCTGCCTCTCTAGAACTCTGGTCGGCTCCCGTCCTTGGTCTCGCTACTCATAGGCCTGTCTCTCCACGGCAGTTTCGTCCTATTCCTCTCTGCCCATGCTCGAGACAACCCCTGGAATTCAGCGGTGGCATTCTATTGCCGGTTCCCCCTCTCTCTTCCCCGCGGGCTCGACTGCGGTTGGTCTAACCTCCACGCTGATCAGAACTGACTTTTTGCTGGGGTTTTGCTATCCGGCTGACTTATTTACCTTTTGTTATCACAGTTTCAATAAACTTGGATTTTGTGTTCACCTGCTATTGGATCCCGGTCTCGTTTCTGACAAAAGGCTATAGTAAAAAGTTGTTAAATTGTTTAACATCACATTATATGCAATTTTACTCTCAACTTCTGTCCAATTTATGGTTTTTGCAATTAAAAAAACTATAAATTACCCGGTGAAAAACAATATTACCAGAACAACAATACCCAGTCAACATGTGAGATCATGCGATGATCACAGTGACATCACACGATCCTCATACTGTGATCCTCACCATGTGAGTAGTATATGAAATCATTGTGAGTTCACACGATCCTCATACTGTGATCATCACGGTGTGAGTAGAATGTGAGCTCATTGGGAGTTTCAAATTTTGAGCAGGTTGAGAGAAGGCAGTTCAAATATTAGTCACCGGGGATAAGATCATCTACATCTTGGTTAAGATTACTAAAAGTTTTGCACCTACAGCACACATTACATTCATTGATGCAGAAATGCAGATATGTTCTACATGTCTAAAGTATATAGAGAGATAAACCTTATAAACTGCTTGATTTTGTGTAACAACCAGAGGCGGACAAAGTACTCAACTCCATTACTTGAGTGAAAGTACAGATACTGCTGGTCAAATATTACTCCATTAGGAGTGGTAAAAGTTGTAAAGACAGATTTTTTCTTAAGTACAAGTACAGAAGTACTTGCTTTTAAAAGTACTTAAGTACCAAAAGTAAATTTCCCTTTTTATGTCAATGCACTGTTTTATTATTGTTGTTTGTAATACTTACAATACTTCTGAAGCAACTTAGAATACATTACACCTGCTGAATACACTGACTAGCTTGTAGTATATTTGGAATAAAGAGCTTTTAGAATGTTAAAAACCTATGGGGAAAAAACAAAACAGAAAAACATTATTGAACACCCCTACCCACCCCCACAAAAGCAGGATGGTAGTGATCTCACACAGTTCTGACAGTGTGTGCACACATCTATGTGTAGCCATTCATCCACATTTGAACAGAGTGGACAGTGAAATCCTGTAAATACAGAGTGATAAGGAAAAAATAAAAAAAAAAATATTTGTCTTTCAAATGTAGTGAAGTTAAAGTCATAAGTTCCCAGAAAAAATAATACTCAAGTAAAGTACAGATACTCAAAAAGTGTACTTAAGTACAATACTCAAGTAAATGTACTTAGTTACTGTCCGCCTCTGGTAACAACTTAAATCTGCATTTACAATAAACTATAGTATTAATTTAGATCTCTCTACAGTAATGATTTTGCAGGTTTTAATAAAATGTTATTTAATAACATTAGTAAGCTAAATAAGATTATTTCCAGTATGTGCCTCAGGCTTGCAAAGTATCGTCAGCTCCTTTTATGAGCATCAACGGTAATCCTCTGCAAACTTTCAACACTTCGACGGTCAGCAAACTTTGGCTGTGCGTCTTGCTTCATCAGCCTGGAACTAAAGTTCAATTCAGTTAGGTTACTTCCTATGAACAGGCTCAAAGAACAATTTGTTCAGAAAT